AGTTGCGTAAGTTAGTAGCTGCGTAAGTTGCGTAAGCTGCGTAATTTGCGTAAGCTGCGTAAGTTGCGTAACCGACGACAACTTCGAGAAGAATAGATACGTATCGATCGGTTAGCTGTCGTCGGTTACGCAACTTACGCAACTTACGCAGCTTTCGTTGGATCGATACGTATGTATTATTCACGAACCAGTCGCAGCTTACGCAACTTACGCAGCTTACGCAGCTTTCGTGAGTTGACGTCGACGTCGAAGGTATGAACGCGGCCTTAAGCGTTTCGTGAGATCTTTTCATTTTGAGGCCATTGTATCTATTTGTCCAGCAGAGAACAAGATTACAGCTATCTAAAAATGAAATATCCCCGAGTAGTCCATCACATGTTCAAATGCCACGCTCCTTCGTCTCAGGTATAAGGAGTATACACTGAAGCGTATAAATGCTGAGCAGAATGCATACCAAAAGCACGATTATTGATCCATGTGCACGGCTTCATGCTGGAACCTGGTTATCCTTCCGTGCGGAGGAACGCGTATCGGGCTCCAGTAGAGGAGACAATAGCATTTTGAGCTTCCTTATACCTTTATCACAGGCGACCCATAAGAGGTTCAGTGCGTGTAGGAACAGGTAGCCCCGTTCAAAATGTCCTCAACTTCATAAGCTCTTCCAGGAAAATCGCTTTTCTGTCATACGTAATTGCTCTTCAATCGTCCATGTAACACGACACCATTTGCCAGTTTTAATGCTAACCGATGTCCACTTAACAGTTTCCCGACAGGCAGAGGGGGTTTCTTGCGACATCGGTAATGAAATCATTCTTCCATCATTGCTCACTTCGCAATTGCTTCTGATCTTTGTTTCAATATCGGCGCGCTTTCCTATGTTTTTGTTTCCGCTTTTTGCGTCATCTATCCCCTCAGCTTTCTCCGGAATCTGCGGAAAACTCAAAACTTTTCCTCGTTAATCTTGTTTTCAGTGATGTCGGTCATCAATAATAACAACAATACCGAAAATATCTTTTGACTGTGAACCAGAGGGACCTCAAAGCAATGATCCCATGCGAAGAACTATTAAGTGAGCTAAATATTTAGTCAGTAAGTTATCTGAATTAGTGGACCAGTCATGTTAAATTTTTAGCCCACGATCATACGACGACCTGCTGATGGTTGCTGATGCTATAAGAAGTCAGCTTGGTTCGAAAGCCGATGTTGAGGTCGGAATCATCTGCGGATCTGGGCTTGGACCAATAGGAGATCAAGTAGAGGATCCTGTCGTGTTACCGTACGAGAAAATTCCTGGATTCCCTTCTGTTAAAGGTGAGCGTATGATTTTCTTGAAATCAGGTACAATCTCCCTAGACAACTGCCATTTTGGGCAGAAAAAGCACCTCCACGTGGTAGCAGACATGACGAATCGTTTCGCTGATTAGCAACGTTGACGCAGACAGAAATGATTGAACGCCTCCGTGATGTAACTGTGGCCGCTGCAATTGTATACGTTTGAAGTGTCCTTTTTTCGGCACGAATTCCAAGAGACAAGCATCTCACCACTGATAGCATCGTCTGCAAAAAAGGCCATAGTTGGTGGCCGAATCGGGACAATTTCACCTCTTCACAAGGGAAGAAGAGGGAAGTGCGTCTGAACAGGAAAGCGAAAAGGCGTGTAAACATCAAAGGCAGGAGTTGCTGAACCCTGTACGGTTCACACTAAATTTCACTGCAGACATCCTTTTGTATTGAATCTTTAAGGCACAGTTCACGCTAAAAGATCCCCTCCCCCACGTCATAAATGATTCTGGCCAGCGTTGGTGCAGAAAAATCTGGTAAAGGGTTCGTTCAGGTCATCGGAATAGCCTTTTCTGAATCGCTTCTTCAATGTTGTAGGGAGGGAGACGTGGAGCACGAAGGGAGCATTCGTTTTTCCTAAGCGTTTTCCTGAAATCAAATTTCTTATCACCACGGGGGTTCGAACCATCAAGCTTCCAATCTCCCTTTGACATTACCCGAAAAAGAGCAAGGAAAATGCACCTCACTCCTGTGGTCTGTGTGTACCCCGTACAGCATGCAATAAATCGTTTTGACAGCTGTGTGGACGGAAGACCCGCTTGTAAGGCATGTCTGCCCCTAACGCTTTACTGCGTCCTGTACGGGGTATATACAGAGATTTTGTCACAGTTTTTTAGTTTCTCTGTCGATCACCATCAAATTATGTCCAAGAGTAAACTTGCTTAGAAATTCATAATTGCGAGGGTTTTTTAGGGGTTCTGCTTCACAGTTGTATGGTTGCTCGAACTTCCCGTGAAGGCCCTGCCGCGAAGGAAGAGTCCGCAACAACATAGAGTGCGGTGACAGTCAGGACTACGTGACATCTTGAACTTGTGTGCTTGGTCCTGTTGCGATACTATGTAACACAGATGGGAGACTGACAAGAGAACTGTAAACAGTCGCGTCGTCTCGCGCGGCATGCGTGCGGCCATGCGCGGCAAGTTCTCCATGTGCGTCATTTTATCGACTGGAGCAGTACAACTCAAAGTCAAGCACAAGGCGAGACTACCATGGTCGCGCTGGATATCGAACTTATTCACTATCCTTTGATACTCATATTCAAACAGCCAAAGGAGGGCAACTCCACTGCCAGACGCGACGTTGATGGGAGAAGGACAGAGGCTGCCAAAGCATTGAAATGTGCAAGAGACATGTAGTGGATCAAGGTATGGGTTTTTCCAAGGGTAGAGGACTCCGTTGTTTGTTAGCCACTTATCGTTTGTGAAAACCTGGAATGTGTGACGTCACAACGACCATGGATTTTGCCAAAGATTGCAGAGAAAATAGAAGATCGAGTCCAAGTTGTCCGTAGAACCGGTAAAAGCATCCGACGTGCGAAAAACATATCGTGAAGTTGTTTCTCTAATGGGAAGAAGGAGGTGCTCCGTAATGGACGAACCTCTCCTCGTACGTGAAAATGCGAGATTGAGCTGCGTCCATCGGCGCCTACCAGCGTCCACCGCCGGCCACTAGCGTTAGCGTCCGGCTAGGGAAGTATAAATTTCGATCTAGCGTCCACCAGCGTCACCAGTAGCGGACTAGAAAACCATGGGGGATGTAGCGAAAGACAGCACTGGCTTGATCAGCGTCAGTGAAAAATTGTACTACGTAACCGAACTACTCTAAAAACTACAACTGCACTGAAAAGAACAAAGGATAAAGCCTTTGCCGTGAGGCAATCCTTTTGTGGGATGCGGCACGCATTCTACTTCCATTCAGAATCATAGTGGCTTATTGAATGCGATGTGGTCTATACAATGACTTGCGGGGGCCAGCCGATGTACAAGTCAGTGTTATTATCCTCCCAGACGAATCTAGCACCAATTTATCGCCTCGAAGGGGTTAGAAAGGCCTTTGGTTTGCCTCAGGCGGAGTCGACCCGGTGCTGATTTGAACCCAAGACGGCGGCCGAGGTGGTGAGCAACGCCACTTTTCAATCACACCACCTCTGCCCACAAACTACACTAGACTACATGGAAAATTGCATTAATTCTGACTGCTTTAGCATCTTCCCGGCAGACTACCCAGATCTCCCACATCCTCCAATTTCCAATACACATCATTCCTTCCGACCGTATCAACCTCGACCCCGCGTGCGTGCGCTGCACATGCTTGCAATGTCACAACCCCTAATCCGCTGTTTTGCGGACCCGTGTCGCTTCCTTATACATTTACCCCGTCGTGGGACGCTAGTGGTCGCTGGTGGACGAAGTATGAACGCAGTCTTACAGTGATCAAGAACCAAAGAAATGGTGGCACGCGAGAGCTGAAAACTGATGTTGTTTGAGAAACCGAGTTCTCGCATTCCCGTGAACCGTGTTCTTCTAACTGTTGCAAGTTACTGATCCATAGCCTTCTTCAATAGTATGCAACTGTTTGAACGCACAGACCTGTCATCACCTTGTATACCAACGTGGTTTTGCACATACATTCTGGATGCATGACGTGCAGTGGTGCAAAAATTTGCACCCAGCGAAGATCTTGTGAAAGTTTATGTGATAAGACAAACCGAGTTTTGCCCAGGAATTAATGCAAGGGGTCTCGAGCATCTCCTCTACCCGACGATATAATATGAAAACTCTGTTAATGTTCAGTTCTATCCCTATTTCAGTTGTCGGACACAAAGGCAATCTGATTTTCGGACATTTGGGTGGAAAGAAAGTTGTTTGCATGCAAGGACGTTTCCATCCCTATGAGCACAATATGAATCTGGCTCTGGTACGTGAGACCTCGGAAAGGCTCCATAATAATGGCTCAGTAGTCCATTTTCAGTAATCTGTTTATTTTTTTAGTGCGCATTCCCAGTGAGAGTTATGCACCAGTTGGGAGTCACGCGATTGGTGGTTTCCAATGCTGCTGGAGGAGTGAACCCAAAGTTCAAATATGGAGATCTTATGCTGATTAAGGTAGCTCAGTCGCTGACATATCATGCTTATCATGCTTGTAGTCTTCCTTAGAACAGTAAAGGATAGATCCGTTGCAGGACCACATCTTCTTGCCGGGACTCGCTGGCTTTTCACCACTCGTTGGCTTGAATGACGGTCGTTTCGGAGCGCGCTTCGTCTCTGTTCATGATGCTTACGACAAAGGTTTGAGGTGTGCATACTGTTTCGATTTTGATATGGGGGGGCATTAAGAAAGCTTCATGAGTCTTTTCTTAACAGTCTCTTATGATACCATTTACATCTGAACCGTTTATGCTTCAAGGCCCATCTTGAGATCCAAATTGGTGGGTAGAGGACCTCGAATACTGTTGAAAAATTGGTAATTATTTAGTAGTGAAGAGACAAGTGAATGAAACCGGATTCTTTTCGATCCGTGCTTTCACGAGAACAGTGAGTAGAGAGTGTGCTCAGATGAACTGTCCCCACTCGCATCAGTCGAAATGGAATTAGTTAATGGCAAAACAACTGAAAGATCTTGGCTTCGATGGAAGTGGAGGTTGGGCGTGACATGTGGCGGTGGGCGGAGCTCACCGCCACATGCCACGCCCAACCTCCACTTCCGTGCTCATCGTGAGCGCATGGCATCGTTACCACGTATCTCTGAACCGCGTAGAGAACAGTACATTCTCTGTGTCAGCAGACTGGACTACCTGCTAAAGACACGCACGCACCCCATTCAAACGCGGAAGGGTGGGGTTAGGCTGCGTTTATACTTTGCGGCAGCGTAGCGTAGCGTAGCGCAGCGTAGCGTAGCGCTTCCAGCGTACGCCAGCGGCAGTGCCGGGGAGAGGATGCATATCGATCTAGCGTTCCCAGCGTCACCAGCGGCACGCTAGCGTACGCCAGCGGCAGTGCTGGGAGAGGATGCATATCGATCTAGCGTTCCCAGCGTCACCAGCGTCACGCTAGCGTACGCTAGCGT